TCCCGAGGACCCTTTAACAGACGGCAGGTGCTTTTCCTAGTGCATTGGTGGTGTTTCTTCTTCCCTTTTCCCCAGTCCTGGTCCTTTCTGTCCTGCTGGCTTTCCAGAGCGTGAACAAAAAAGGAACTCTGTTCCTTGCCCCTTGACGTTTGCAATCAAAAAGCTGGCATGGGAAAGGCATCAGAAGGAAGGCAGCGGCAAGAAGCAGCACTGGTCTCAGTCACGCTTAGCAAGGTTTAGCATGTGGGAAAGGTGAATGTCAAGAGGGGATAGGAAGGGAGGACAAGAGCGTTCAGCCAAATCCCAGTGCAATCTGGGGTTTAGTCTGGCCTTTGAAGAAGCTGAACCCTGCCTCCCAATAGCTTCATCGCCATGAGGAGCTCCTTTAAATTCAGACTAAAACCTGGAATGGAAACAGCAGCGCACTGTCCTTCCAGTTCACTTAGCTTGTCTATCCAATGGCCTTGTTTATATTTTAAAGTTAGAATCTCTTACCTACGAACCCAGATAGACCAACTAATATTTCAGACTGTATTTTTGGCCTCTCGTTTGTGTGCTGAGGTTATAATTGTTGGTAGACTCCTGCCTACAGTTGTATTCGAAGGAACTATCTGCAGATGGGAGAATGTGCTGGATGCCTGGTGCCGTCGTTATTTGTTTTTCGGTGCCGGGCCAAGACCTTTTTATTCAAATAGTATTTTAATAACGTTTAATATTTATAGATTTTAATTGTGCAGCCAGTGTGTTTCCGGGTTTTAATTGTAATTGTTATTATGTTGTATTTATTTATTTCTGTAAGTCATCCCGAGGCTGTGTAGCAAGGGGACAGCATATAAAAACTTTAAATAAATAAATAATAAAAGTAAACATCAGGGGACAGAGTGTCTCTGGATGTAGGGGCAGAAAGACAGACTGTGGGGGACAGACGGTTCATCCCGTGTGTTCTGCCCACTGTCCTCCTTGCTTCTCTTTGGCTCGACCGCTGTGTGAACTGAAGCCTTCTGGGGCTGCCTGCTAAATGTTTAGCAAGGGGCCTGAAATAGCAAACACATAGGTTTGCACGAGATCTTTCAGCTCACCTGGCACCAAGCCCTCATTTCGTCACCCCCTGGAGCTGCTCACCACGTTCCAAACCAGGGCAATACTGCACTTGGACCAACTCAAAGGTCACAGAAATCGCGTGCAAGCGGGCGAACTCTCCAGACCTCTCTATCAGGCTGGGCAGGAAACAGCGCGAGTGCTGCAGGGGGTGGGAAAGAAAGACGAAATCCGGCTGATGGCCAAGCCACAGAGCCCACATTTCATCCTGCCCTTAAGATGGGCTGTGGGAGGAAGGCAGAGACATTCAGACTAGGTCTCTCAGGTGCCAAGGAGGTTTCAGGGGGCCCACCCCGAGGCCGCTGGAATGGAGAAACAAGCAAGCAATAACTGGCCTCCTCATTTTTCAGGGAGAAAAATCAGCCGTGACTCATCCTACCTAAGGGGCAAGGAACCTGGAAGTCCCAATGCTGTGCTTTTCACCACCATGCCACACCAGCGCTCGGAGCTGCGAGTGCTGACAATTCTTGCACAAGCAAAGTGCGCCAGGCCAGGGAAGGTCAGCAAACTGAAATGCTTCAAATAGCATTCATTTATAATAATGACCCTCCTGCGGGTGCCATGGTAGAATTCCCTGTCTGGGTGTCGGCCCCACATAACCTAGCAAATCTGGTTCGTCCTGAGCTATTGCAGTGTTTCATACCATGCCAAACACCCTTGATTGTTCTCTGTGGATATTAAATATTGCAGTCTTCGGGTGTTCCAGCACTGCTCCTGGAGTAATAAATTGGAAGATACTGTGTGAACAGCTGCTATTACCACTGGTGTATGGATTCCTTGCAGGTAGCATGAGTATTATTTATCTTGTTCCAAAACCTGTTCCTACTCCTAGTCAAAAGCCCGGCCAGCTAACTAGGAAAATATCCAGTTTACTTCAGTGTTGCTAGCAAGAAAAGCGGACCTTCAGAAATCAGCGCATGAACTGATTTCACTCCATGAAAGTTTCCCGCTTCCTGAAGCCTGAGTGCTATTAAAAGCACAGCAATGGTTGCCACTTGAAAAGTTAGCTACCCTAGACCGGTTAAGCAAATTGGCCTACAGAAGCGGCATCCACAGCATGCTGTGATATTCAGCCTTTTTGAATGACCTGGATGCATATTTTAAGGACTAGGATCCCCACCCAGAAGCACATATGGTTACACGGGAATAGAGCTGAAACAGAGCCAAGGTGGGGTTTGTTGTTGTTTTGTTTTATATTTATTTATTTAGATCTGTATCCCACCTTCCTTCCTTCCTTCCTAGAACTTGAAGCAGCTTGCATCATTCTCCTCCTGCTGCTCCCAATCTTCTCCCTGCAACAACAACCCTGTGAGGTAGGCTGGGCCGAGAGCCTGTGAGTGGCCCAGCGTTACCAGTTGGCTCCATGGCTGAGCGGGGATGAGAACCTGGAGCTCCTAGGTCCTCAGTCCGCACTCTTAACCACGACCCCACACTGGCTCCCAGAGTGCCGTTGTTCTGTGCCATCAAGTTGCCTTCAGTTTATGGTGACGCCGTCAATCAACGCCTTCCAAAGTATCCTCTCCGTGACCACTCCATTCAGCTCTCCCAGGTTCAAGGCTGTGGCTTCCTTGATGGAGCCCGTCCATCTCATCTCTGGGCTTCCTCTTCCGCCTTCATCTTTCCCCAGCTCGAGCGTCTTTTCGAGGGAGTCTGGCCTTCCCATGATGTGGCCGATGCACAACAGTCCCAGTTTTGTCAATTTTGCTTCCAGGGGGAGCTCAGGCTCAATTTGATCTAGGACCCTCTTCCCCGCCTTCCTGTCGGTCCAGGGTACCTGCGACGCTCCCTTCCAGCACCACGGGTCAAAAGCATCATTTTCTTCCTGCCAGCTTCCTTCACTGCCCAGCTTTCACACACATACATTGCAACTGGGAATACGATAGTCTGGGTGTTCTTGGCCCTGGAGTTGGAGTGTTTTGCAAGCTCTTGTAATGTACGTGTTAAAATAGGGGCAGGGAATGTGAACAGAAAAACATCCTCCAAGCCAATGCATGTTTAAACAGGGAAAGGTCGCACAATCCCTCACTGGCTGGGGAACGTTGGATTTTCTGTCGAATGTAGGGTAGCACCTTTCATGAATCGGTTACACACTGCCTGAGAAGATACCCATGTTTTGTCTTGGTCAACAGAAATTCATAGGAAGAAAAGAAGTTCTGGACAATCTTATAACTGAAATCCATCAAAGATGGTAACCCCATAGTACAATCAAGTGCTTTAAAAATCGAGTTTATTATGCCCCAAAGAAAAGCTTGATGCAAACAGAGAAATGTTCCTTCTTCAGCACCAGTTTTCCTCAAACTTCTTTTCCAGAAGTTTTTGACTCTGACACCCATCAGCCCCATTGTGCATGGTGAATAGTCCATGCTTCTGGAAGCTTCCGTCTGAAGTGTTTGGAGGGATTCAGGTTGGCAAAGGTTGAAAATGAAACCCCAAATCTGAGGGGCAGCCAATCTGGGCATGGTTCTATCCTCCTTTGCTGTCCCAATGTGGGATGTAAACGTAAAAGTAAGAAAATATTCTCAATCTAACACTGATTGCATTTTGCTACAGAAAAATAGCAAAACCTGCTAAGGAACAGTTAAGTCATCCCACCCCCACCTCTTGCTTTCCAGTGGTTTGGACTACAACTCCCATCACCTCTGACTACAGGCTGTGCTGGGTGGAGATGATGGGAACTGGAATCCCAAACATCTGGAGAATGCCAGGTCAGGAAATCTTGAGCTAAGCCATCAAAAAGAACAATAGAATGTAAAATGACACGTGACGTATGCCATGAGACCATTGTAACATCAAAGGAGTACAGAGATGTTTCGGCAACAAAGAGTAGACATTTCAAGAAAGACCTTCTGGCATATGAGTGTATTTATCCTCTTTTCTGAAGGCCAAAGGAAGATGAGTCATGGTCAAATGTGGGGTTGGGAAAGATCCTCTTCAGATGTGCTGGACCCAGCTACTCACATAAGAGAAAACCCAGGGAGCTTTTTGGTTTGCTTTGTATCATGTTCTGTTTGCCTGAAATCAGAACTTGGAACTGTGGTGCCCACACAACCCATTGTATGCATATTGGAAAAAATGAACAACAGCAACAAAAGGTCTTCTGATTCCTTAAAGACTAACCAATGTATTATGGCTCAACTTTTGTAGATTATTGCTAAATTCCAAGTAGATGCATTTTGGGGGCGTTTCTGCTCTCACGGATTTGGAAACTGGTCCAATTCGTACCTGAGGCTACACCATGGTATGGTTTGTTGATATCTGGTTTGTAATGCCTGAATGCATCCCAGCAAATAAACCGTGGTTTGTTACCCAACTACCAACTGCAACTAGAAGCCACAGTTTTATGTGGTTTATGAAGCCTTGCTTCTTGAAACCATGGCTTGTCATGATTTGTGTGAACCCACAGACATGGCTTATCGCTGGTTTGTTTGCACTGCTTCCTGTCCTGAAGGTGAGAGGCTTCTATTGTACAATCACCTGCCTCATACATGGAACTTTACATAGCACTGCAGACCTCACAGTCACCTTCCAGGTGCAACATTCCTCTGTTTTCCAAGCAGTTCTTACTGGGCAGGGGAGTAACCCATCCAGGAGTATCCATGCAAAACAGCCATGCAATGATTATATTATTATTATTATTATTATTATTATTATTATTATTATTACATTTCTATGCCGCCCCTTGCCGAAGCCTCGGGGCGGCTTACAACACAATAAAATACATTGAAATACAATAGAACATAATAAAATGATCAGTAACACAAGGGGGCTGTCTGACTAGAAACATGCAGAAAACACCGCACTGAAATCCCCAGGACTTATTCTCAGGTCCCTGCATTCAGGACGGGTGCCATGATTCAATACCAGTGGAAGAAAAAAACGGAGAAATCCAGACCATCACTAACCTGCTCAGAGGTTGCCGTTTGAAAGTCCTTTCGATGAACCCAGTCGACCACTTGTCCTTGTGCAATTCGGTTGATGTCAGGTCGTAAAGTCCACAGGAAGCGCCAAGGATCCACCCCGTGCACTTGACTTTGAGCTACCTTTTCCTGCCTCTGCGCTCCAGCAAGGAGGCGCTCCCGTGGAAATGTAGAACTCGACATGCTAAGTTTGTGCAAGAGCGTGCATATTTATCCTACGTCTGCTGGGCTGAACCTGCGCCAGGTGTCAGCTGTGAGAAGAGGGTGGAGAGTTGGAGGCAAAAGGGTGGAGACGGGAAGGTTTGCCGGGCGGCTTGATTTATGCCAGGGGAGAGGCAAGATGACAGATCACACGCTACCCTTCACAGGGGTCACTGGAATGGATTGGGCCAGGCTTCCTTGGGCAGCCTCAGCTGAGTCACACACTCACCAGGCAGCCTTTCAAATAAGTACTGAATAAGTACTTTAAAATAAGCAGGTAATTCCCCCCCCCCATTTATTTATTTATTTATGACAACTTATATGCCGCCCCCTTTGCATAAGCCTCGGGGCGGTTGCCAATCATAAATAAACACGAATATATAAATACATAAAATGCATAAAATAGTGGAGACATCCTGGCAATTTAAAATCAATAAATAACATTAACAATTAAAATAGCGTTTGAATAAAAAGGTCTTGGCTTGACGCCAAAAAGCAAATGATGACGGCAAACACCTGCCCACTGTTATACAATCCAGTTTGAAAAGCCAAGTACTCATCCATCTGTCAATATTTATTATATGGCCACAGAGCTATTGAAACCAAAAAGGTCATTAAAACATGATCATTAACTTCTACGTTTTTAAAAATCACAGTAAGGATGGAAGAGTAGTCTCATGGGACCTTATTAAAGAATAATTAATAATTCCCCATTTCCTCTCCACATTTTCAGCCATCTAGATAAAGCACCCCAGAGGATGGAGGGACCAGTTCAAGACCTCCACCAGCTGACCCCTGGCATACCACACTTCTTCCTCCCCCCTGGCCCAGTTCTGCAAAGGGGCTGAAGCTGGATGCTCCCCGTGCCTCCCGGGGGGGCCAGAAAACCCAGCCACTAGCTCTGTCATCCGCTGGTTTCCACCAGCCAGGAAATATTCCAGACCCCATTTCTGTTGCCTTCTGGGATCACTGAAGTTTCCATGGCTCTCCCAAGCACCACCTACTTGGACACAACGCAGGGCCCTTCTCCAAGGGACATGGCTTTGGCAGTGGTGACCCCCATCCAAGGAAGAACCTCCCCACTGTGGCCCAGCAGAGGCCAAATAGGTCACATTTCAGCACCGGGTTAAGACAGCCCTCACTTCTGAAGTTTTTAAGGGCCTACTGGGCCACCTGGGGCTTGAAGGGACTTTTGTTATTCTTTGTTACCGTCTGTTTTATCATCTGCTTTTAGCTGTCTTAACTTCTTATTGTTTTTCCCTGAACATTATGATGCTTGCTCTGTGTTTCTGTCCTTTGTTTTTATGGATTGTGTAAAGCACCCAGATTGCTTTGGGTGAAATTAGCAGCAACAGCAACAGCAATCCCCAAGCATCACACGTTTTTTCCAGCGCCAGGTTTCACGGCTTCCCTTCTGCAGTTTTGGAAGGGGCAGAGACCAGCTCCCACATCCTGGGGGCTTTCCTCTTCTTAGCGCAGTCTTGGCCCCAGAGAATGGAGTGAGCGCCTCGGCTGCTCTTGCGCTGGGAGCACATGAGTGCATCTCTGGGGAAGTGTTGCACAAGCCCTGCCAGGGACAAGCAAACAATCAGCCGGCCAGTTCTGAGAAGGGCCCGGCCTGTCATGTATTTAAAGGACGTGCACGCACACAAAGACACACACGGCTTTTTCATGCATAAGGAGGCGGCTGGGGGAGCACTCACCAAGCACACATCCAGGACAATTAGTGGCTCACACGTGCTTAATCTTCTCCTTCAAAAGGCTAATTAAGCACGATTAAATGCGGTGCATTATGCACAGGGAAGGCGCACTGTGTCCGATGCTTGGCTCCGACAGCCGTCCTGCCACTTCCAGGGGCATCAATGCCATCCGGGGCTGGCCTCGGGGATCCCTTTGATTCAGGCCTGAGCACAGACCCCGTTCAAGGGTCTCACGGGGCAGCGGTTTAATGCCCTCCTCCTCAGGGCCAGAGGGGGGCATGAACTCATTCTAAACGTCATTTGGTACATGCTTCCCTTTTCCTGAAGAAAATGAGGGGACTCTTTTTCTTTGTTTCATCCTCACAGCATCCCTGTGAGGCCACGAATCAGCAACTGGTCCCAGGTCACCCAGTGACTGTGGCCCAAGTGAGGACTACTCCGCATCTGACCGTCTCACCCCGTGCCAGACTGGCTCCCACGTGCCGTCGAACGCCTGGGAGAAGAGGCAGGTCTTAATCTGGCATGGGAAATATACACATGGCTGGACTCACCGGGGAAGGTGCTCCATAATCCGAGGCCAACACCAAGGCGGCCCTCAGCCTTATCGCCTTCCTGCCAGCTTCCCTTCTGGGGACACACCTGGAATCAGGCCTCGGAGGAGGAGTGTGGGAGCCGTCCTCATAAAAGTTATAGTTTTATATTTTGGAATAGAGTAATCTGTGCCTCCCTTCACGCCTCCCAGCCTACAGGGCTTTTCCCATCCGGGTTTCTTTCTACCAGGAAAGAGCCCCTGGATATGCAAACAGATGCTGTGGCAGATGCAATCTTGCAGGACACTTGCAAATCCGTCAGCAACCTCATTGTCTTTCTGGAATGTCCTTCCTCAAAGTTTGCTTCCTAAAAAGCAAACACTGAAACCTATTAAATTCTTTAACTTCTGATTGTTTCATTTTTTTATCTGTCACTCAAGATCTCGATGCATCATGATGCTTTCCCAATGATTCCCTGATGATTTCTCAATGTTTCCGTACTGTCTTTGCGTGCTTCTATATTGTTCTTGCATATCACCCATTCCAAGTCTCATTCCCCTCCCCACAAGGACTGTGTGACACCCGCTCCAAAAACACTCTGTGTATGCTCAGTTTCCTCATAGTCAGTCTTATGCTTGGCTACCCCTCAGCACTGGATACCTGTTGCTGTTGATAACCTGACAAATGCTTGACTGTACACTCCCCTTTGGATCCAGACATTCATTCTTTGCAGGTCTGAAATCCTGACATGAGCAGAGACCACAGGTAGCCTGGGCCCACCTAAGTTCAGCTGCAGGCTATTAAAGCCCTATAGAGACTTACGAGAAGTCATTTTTGGGGGAATCTTTCTTTGCAGTTCGGAGGCCAGGCCCCTCCTGGGCACTTCCTGGGGCTCCTCAAGAGCAGGACTGGGGCAGAGGGAATCCCCAGCTTTGAGGGAAGTCTAGCCAGGGGAGTTTTCCACGAAACAGCCTGCTGGCTTGATGAGTTCTCTGTGCTGGTTTCCAGCTGGCGATAACTTAGATCAGACAGAGCTGCCCTCTGAGGCCAAGGACCAGCACTGTTGCCCACATTCTCCAACTTCGTCAAAACACATCACTGTCTCACTTTCCAGACATTCCTTCGGACACACATGCACACCATGCAGCCATGGCTCTTGGACTGAACTGGTCATTCTGAGCAAGGTAGGCCAGAGACCGGCCATTTGTGTGTGCGGGGCAGGGTGGAAACATCACTCTCCCACCACTCCAGCAGCCTGGAGACTTTTAGAAACAGAGAAACAGAGCGAGTCAGAAGGGGCCTCCCGGGCCATCTAGTCTGACCGCCAGCACCAGCTGGCTCCGCTCACGACACGCCCACCACGTGCACAATAGAACATGGTGCTTTTCCTGATGCCTGGCTGGAACCCGGCTTCCTGGAGCTTGAGCCCATTACTTTGGGATGAGGGAGAAGAGACCCTGGCCCTGCTCTGTGTCTCAGCCTTTCCGGGACTTGCGGAGCGCTCCCCCGTCTCCCCTCGGCCTTCTCTTCTGCAGGCTAAACACACCCAGCTCTCCCCACCGCTCCTCACGGGGCTTTGTGACCAGTCCTCAGAGCCAGAGGGCTGCTGAGCCACACGGTGCCCCTCCCTGAGCGAGGCATCCCTCCCACCTCCAGCATCGCATCACCTGCTGCTCCTCGCCCGCTCCCTCATCCCGGCTGCCACATCTGCTTGCTCGGCAGGGCACCAGGTGACCTCCCGGACGCTTCACCAGGACCACAGCGAGAGGTGGCAGGTGAGCCGGCAGGTCGCCGCGGGGAAGGGGAGAGCCGCCCCTGCTGCCAGACCCCCGCATGCTGGCCCTGGAGGCTGGGCTGGGCGGACCATTGCGGGAACCTGCCCAGGAAAGGAAGGTGCCAGGGCCAAACACGACCGGTTCGTGTGTTGTGAGGCCGAGGCCATGGGCTGAGCTTGGCAGGATCTGCAGTGTACTGATCTTTCATGCCCCAAGTGGACACGGGTCATTTGGAAGGAGGGCATCTTAGAACAAGGTGCGTGGGAACTCTGGCATGAGCAGTTGTGGAGCTGAGGACGTGGGGGAGCATATTGTGAGTTTGCTCTCTGCTTGTTGTGAAGGAGTCTGGGATATGGCAAAGGGGGTGTGAGGGGGCCAGAAGGGCTCGTTAGTGTTCCTTAAGGACCAGTTGGCAAGCCCTGCCAGCCAACCACATCTTTCGTGGGGGAAATTGCAGATAAAGGGCCCAGCTTCAGAGGAACACATTGTTATGGGAAGCAATAGACAACGGGAGTTTCTTGGTGATTCCTGGAAGATCAAAGAGCAGAGATGCTACGGCGGTTTGCCTCCACCTGCGGGCTACTTCCCTGTTGGTGGATAACCCAAATATCACAAAAACATTTGTGATTTCAGTCATTTTTAGGACTGACCGACTTAGCTGAAGTATTTTTATCCTACAGCTTGGCCAACAATGACAGCCAAGGCAGTTTACAAGTACGCTGCAGAACAAGGCAGTCCCTGCTTGCAGGCTTACAACTGAAAAAGAAGCAGCACACAAGGAAAGAGGGATGGGGAGGGCAGGGGGGAAACGGAGCTGACTTTCAGCAGGGCTGCCGGAATAACCCTGCCTGCGTACCTTCTTATCACCCACAGCGCAGGTCAGTCCAGGTGGAACAGGCCGTTTCCATTGCCTGCTTCCGATTCCCTCACGCCTTTTT